AATTATGTATCTTCCAGCCATAAAACCATTTTGAGATTCCCCAATAACATCATGAAGTACTTTTTTCAATTTGTTGGCTAAGCATAATGCTAAGATTTTATAATCATTATTTAACAATGTGATGGGGCGCCAGTTGTCTAAAACTAATAAATCTTTTTGTGTCTTTGGGATGAGTGTAATTAAGCCTTGACGTAGCGTGGACGGTAGTTGTTCTTTATGTATACTTTCTATAAACACATTCAACAAAAATGGAGCAAGTTCAGCTGAGAATAATTTGTAAAATTCAGAGGTTAGCCCATCGATACCTGGGGATTTATTTAGTTTCAGTTTTTTAATAGCATCTGAGATTTCTATAAGTGTAATGGTGAGTCACAAATGGATTTTTTGAATTCGCCAATTGTCTTAATATTACCTAGATCCTTAAAAAAATCATCCATTTGAGTAGGTGAAATAGTTGAGGTATATAGTTTTTTATAGAAATTCTCACATAGTTTAGATAGTTCTTTTGGATTTTCTATGATATTACCATTTGAAGAGAGTCTGTTTATACTATTTTTGTTTTGTCTTTGTTTTTCTAATTTAAAGAAATAGTTAGAATTTTGCTCTCCCTCCTCCAACCACTTCGCTCTTGAGCGTACAAATGCACCTTTAGCTTTACTGATATATCTTCTTAGCTCATATTTTAAAAGCTCCCATTGTTTTTGATATTCCCCTTTATCTTCTGCAGTTTTGAAACGCTCTAAAATTTTTCTTCTAATTATTTCATTTAAAGAATCGTTTTGTAATAAAGAACTATTTAATTTCCAGTATGCAGGGTATCTTTGAGTTTGCTTATCAGGTGATAAGTTTAAAGTTAGTACAATTGCTTTATGATCTGTTAAGGGAGTTGGCATAATTTCTGTCTTGCAAATTACCTGAGTAATGAGATTAATTAATGAGTACCTGCGATTCCAAGATTAACCAAAAATCTATTCTAGATCGCAGAGAACCAGCCTTATTTGTCCATGTAAACTCTTTACTGTTTGGATTAGTAACTCTCCAAGTATCAATAAGACTTTTTTCATTCATAAAATCTGTCAAAAAAACAGTTAGTTTTATTTCTACCAGGCCATCTATCAATGTCATCATTAACTGTGCAATTAAAATCCCCTCCCAGTATTACTTTAATATCAGTGAACCTTCCCATGACACTTTCCATGATACATGCTACTGTTAACTTTAAACCTGAAACCCGATCCTGTTTGGATTATTACCGTTGGTGTTTCAGATTATGCATTATATGGGTTGCAGTGAACGGCTGCAGTGTTATGCGGGTTTGCCCGCCCGAAATGGTGTTTCAGTGATGTTTATGATTAGAGTCATAACACTAATAACAAAGTTATGAACAAATATGGCCGCCTTGTGGTTTTGGGAGCCATGCATGAACCGTGTCTCTCCCCTTTGCTGCTGACACGAGAAATAAACTCGGGGTGAAAAAAAGTTAACAAAAATTAGCGCATGCGCAGTGCTGACAGACTTTAGCTCCTCCTCCTCCTCTTCGTGCTCCTCCCATACAGGAAAAGACAACAAGAAAAACTGAGTGAGTCCATCTTAAGAGACCTACGGTACGGTGTTTATTTAAGCAAGCAGGAGACGGACGGGAAGAAACATAAAAGTACAGCTGCCACGTTGGTGAAGCAAAGTTTATGGCAACGCGAGACACTGATGTGCTACAACATGTTTATCACAGCTGGAACTGACTGTACAGACATGCACCGTCTGCAGTAAAGTCCTTTACGTCACCGCCACTTATTGACAAGGACCTTCTAACAAGTTCAGTTCAAACACAAAATAGTTACGTTTAATATTACAAACTTATTTCATACTGTTCTACATTAAACTTTTATTTTGTTCCCTTTCTTGAGAGGTTAATGCTCTACAGATGTTGTGAACCACGTCTCATTTTTATTGCTTCGTGCAGACAGACTGGACAACTTGCTTAAGGGTTAGCTTAAGTGAGGTTCAATGGAAAGGTTATGAACAATTAATATCTTACCTGTTGTAGAAAGCTCTTTGAACAACCTCAATTTGGAGAAACATAGATAATTCTGACCAGATTGACAAGGTGATGGCTGGTTTCAGTGGTCCAGCATGTTGTGGCACCTCAGCTTTTTGTGTCCAAACAAGTAATTTAGTTACTCTGGACATCCTAATAATCATTAACATGTTGATACAGGGTTTGAAAGCACAAAAAGCAAAGATTTGTTTGTTTGTGCTAATAATAGTTAGTCTGGTTATGGAACACTAAGCAAATGTTCCTGTTTTTTTTTTTTTTACATGTCTATAATGTTCCCATGTCTCAGAAGTTAATGGAATGCAGTATAACTCATTTTTAACCCTCTAATACTGAAAAAAACAAACTGGTTTTAAGCAGTTCAACTCAACTAACTTAGCATTTTGTATCATTTTTCAAGTTATGTGGGCTGAAAAGTTGGGCAAACAGTTGGGCAACCCCACTCGATCATTGGGGGGATGGTTGGTCAGCAAGCTGTTTAAAGTTCGCAACCAGATTCTTGAGGAGAATGCTGTTCAGATGTTGGAGATCCAGCCGGGGGACACAGTACTGGAGCTGGGTCATGGTCCAGGTTTGGGTCTGCAGGCCGCAGCCAAACTCCTCACCGGGCCTACAGGCCACCTCATAGGAGTAGATTACTCCAAGTACATGCATCAGGTGAAGTATGAATATGAAGACACAAGGAATGTAATTTTTAAAACATATCCTGTTTTAAATTTTTATTACAAAGTGTTGCACTAAGCTTGTCTTTAAACAGTATCTGTAGAAAAAAAACTCCAGTTAATTTCAACAAGCCATGATTTTAGACCTTATTAGTTCATTTTGAGTTTAGAATAAACCAAGGTGAAAATAGCTTTTAGTGCCTGTAGAGGGACCATGTTCACTTTTGGAACTGTGCATCATTTTGTATTTTACTGTGGCAGATGGCAGCAGAACGAATGAAGGAACTCATTGCCAGTGGCAAAGTGACCTTACACCTGTGTGATGTAGCTGGGATGCCTCTGGCAGACAACACTGTGGATAAAGTCTTCCACTGTAACTGCTACTATTTCTGGCCTGACCTCGGGAAGGCAACCTCAGAAATACACCGTGTAATGAAACAAGGTAACGTTTCAACACAGACTGTATTCTCGAAATGTATTCATCATGACTATGAAAACTTGCCCCGCACACTATGATCTAATCATTTTTTAAATCCACCCAGGAGGTCGGATGGTGACCACAATGAGGCTTTCCCATGTAGCTACTTTGGGAGCAAAGGGAGTGATGCCCGGAGAGAACTGGCGTCCAGAGGCCTATATGGCAGCTCTGAGCGACTCTGGCTTCACTGATATCAGGATGGACGACAAACAACATGAAAACACAACTTTTCAAGCTGTTTTTGCCACTGCCTTAAAATGATATGTGAATTTCAGGTTGGTTTAATGACAACAAAAATTTTAAATTTGATAAGCTGATAAGAAAATACTGTCAGAATTTTTCTTTAGGTGGTTTAGACATTTCAGGATTCATTAATTGTGTCACACTATATATAAGCACTTTGTTCAGTGTTGTCTTTGCACAAAAAGACACATTGTTGTATTTCAATTTTTAAGCTGAGATTGATTTTAACATTGAAATGCTTGTTGAAAAATGGAACATTTCCAATGTATGGAAAACAAGAATTTACTTTTAACATAATTACTTTAACATTGCAATCTTGCAGAACATATTTTTGACCTTTCATAAAATGCTGCTGAAAGACAGTATGGTTTACTGTGAGTACTTGGTTCTGTATTTGCATAGGCTTTCTAAAGATATGTGCAACCAAAATGCAATAAATAAACACTAAAATCACCCAGTTAACCTAATAGACATATTTTTGAACTGTGAGAAGAATCTGAAAGTATTTGGGGGGAAATCAACATGTGCACAGGAAGAAGATACAGTCTATGAAAAATAATGTGGTTATTGAAGGGGATCAGATATTAAAGAGCTGTTGTTAACAATTGTGGAAATGTACCACGTGTCTTGTGAAGCTCGTAACCTAATACAAAACCCAAATACAACCGCTGCCCTGCTCTCTTCTGTCTCAGTGAAAAACAAAGGGGTTGCCTCTGTATCTGCATCTGAGGAGACAATTATGAGGAGGAAAAAAGATTTAAAAAGAGATGTCTGTCATTAGTCTATGACTCAGTTTTTATCAAAGAATATTTTGAGTTCAAGTACTTGGTATACATGGTAGGACAAATTCAGGCATACTAAGCAGTCTGTATTATATATATATATATATATATATATATATATATTATTTATTTTTTTGGCTGAAAAAATAAATATATTTAAAAAAAATAACCTGCTTCTATTCAAAGCAAGAAAACAAAACGGAATATGTTTGTTTTAATATCACTTGTCTGGTGTTTCTAGTAAAACACTGACTGAGGCAAGTGATTCAAATATTTTGCCTGGATTCATATCTGTTCATTGAGAAATACAATGTTACACAGCTCTTGAAGTCAGGTTGAAGTCAGAACCTTCAAAACTATTATTCAGGAAATATAAGAGAACAACAGTAAACTTAAAGATAACATGTTGGCTAAAATGAGATACGAATCAGAAAAAAAAACAACTTCTTAAAATATATAGAAGTAAAGATTGACTGTTGAAATTTTATTCCACAAAGAAACTCACGAAGTGACAATGTTAGGTTTTATTATCTAAAAACGTGAAAACAGCTGTAGTACAGCAAAAAAAAGGTTAAATCAAACTGGTCCAGATATACAGATGACACGATTTAACCTTTTTTGTTGTTATCTACCTGGAAGATTGAGTTCACAATCCTTTTTACAGCTGTAGTACCTGGTTGAGCCTCCCCGCCAGTGGGTGGCGGTAGTGTTCCATGTTGCTGCTGCTAAACCACGATTAGAAACACCAAAGAAGACCTATAGCGCGGGTGATCCAAACCGAGCAAAACAAAACATCTGAACGACTTTTCTACACCGAAATATTGTGAGAATTTGAAAATCTCTGTAGCAAGTTTACAGTAGGCGGGAAACAGCTGGAGAAATGTAAGTGAACGATGTATAGAGTAAATGTCTAAATGCACTTTAGCCAAGTTATTTTAGCTTGTACTAGATTTTGTTAGAAGCTAACTCGCTTTACCGCTCGGTTTGTTTTATTTCTTGCTTTAAAAGATGCAGAGAGCTTCCCGTATGAAGCGTGAGCTTCAGATGTTGAGCACCGAGCCTCCTCCGGGTGTAACTTGTTGGCAGACAGAGGAGCGGATTGATGAGCTCCGTGCACGTGAGAACCCCTTGCACCGAATCTGAAACCACTTCCAACACGTTAATCAAACAGCAAAGCGATGAGATCTTACATGTTCTGCTTTCAGTGCTTAATGATCCTGTTCATATATGTTACTGGAGTGTTAACAGATGCACTGTTTATATGGGTGGCAGGGTCATTAATTTTAAATCAAAGTAAATGTTGCTTTTTAGTGCATCATTGATGCAAGGTCCAAGGTGTTGACATATTTTTTAAAAAGCCACATGCCCATCTTAATGATGATATATGCTAAAATTAAAAACAACCGTTGCCATTAAAACTTCACATTGAAATTCAGAAAAATGCATGTGAGGGTGAGGAAGTGCACAACTTTGGCCTTTTGCGTCACACTTGTTTGACACAAACATGATGCAACAGGCTCACTTGCAGGTCATTCTGCTATCTTATCCATAGCTGCAAGAAACTCCTGTAAAATATATTTTAAACATTAAATACAATTGGGCTGCACTGCAGAGTTTCATGGGTCAGTTCTTACAGTTTTCTTGGCCTCACAGTGTCTGGAAAAAGACAGGTTTTTATCAGCAGAGAGGACTTTAAGAGTTTAGTTGATGAAGAGCAGCATGTGGTTCAATAGTGCCGCTCAGATACAACTTAGGGTCTGATCAGCTCAGCCTGGGTGGCCCTGGAGAAAGTGTCTGATATGTTCAACAATTTTCAGTCAGGTCATCTGGACGGTTTCTTTTTTTTTGTGCTAAGACGTTTCGCCTTCCATCCAGAAGGCTTCATCAGTCTGAGGAAACACTAAACAAAACTGCTTCTCCCCCAACTGCTTACTCCCAAAGTGGAAAAATACAGTTATGTTGGTGCTAAGATGGTCCCTGGGGCACGGTCCTCTCCCTCATTCATAGTCATGTCAAACTGCACAAAAAAAAAAAAGAAACCGTCCAGATGACCTGACAGAAAATTGTTGGATTTTATACCTGGATTATTGAGCATGGACTTTTGGTGTCTGATATGTTGAGACTCAAAACTCCCGATGACCTTGGGATCACAAACAATTGTTTTAAAAGCATTTTAAGATGTATCATAGAATATTTACTTATTTTGAAATAAGAGCAACCTATCTTTAAAAAAAATCCTTAACTCAAACTTGATAACTAAATGAAACAAGGAACCATTTTGCTTGACAAACATTTGGGGAGTAGTGTCTTTTGTGAAATGAAAGAAAACGAGTTGAATCAATCTGAAGGTGAGACTAAATCTTATTACAAGGACTAAAAAATGGGTAATATACTCTGTCTATGGTTATCATTGTTAACAAAACAATATGAGCAGTTTATAATTTATGTCAGTGTATATTTGTTACATGTGTTGCCATCTTTACAAAGATTGTGTTACTCTTAATACTGTCAATTGTAACAACAATTTGCCTTCAACTTTTGCAGTTTTCCTCCAGTGTAGTATGTCTTTTACTCTATGCATTTTTAATTTGATCATTTCATCAATCACAGACTGACTTGATGTTAATTGAAGCAATGTTCCTCTTCTTCTTGTTGATACAATAGGTTTTCAGGACCTTGTGTTGTTCCTGTTCTACATGCTGCAAAATAAATTTGAACCATCATTCGTATTTTTTGTGTGTGTGTATGTTTCACGATTCTTAAACTGCTTATTTTTGCCTCGCAGAGATTGTAGGTGGAGCAGGAACTCCCTATGAAGGTGGAGTCTTTTCCCTGGAGGTCAAGGTTCCAGAGAGGTCTCCTTTTTTTGTGCTTTAACATGAACCAAACTCATTCAGCCATTTACCAGATGCATTCACTCATGTATCTGATCTGCTTTATGCCTCTTGCAGATATCCATTTGAGCCTCCAAAAATCCGATTCTTGACTCCAATCTACCACCCAAACATCGACAACTCTGGGCGGATCTGTCATGATGCTCTCAAACTCCCTCCAAAGGTTTTGATCAGAAGCATAAAACAGACATTTTTTGTTTAACCCAAATTTAATTGGTTTACACATTTATTTATATATATATATATATATATATATATATATATATATATATATATTTTTAGCTGTGTGCAATGTGACAGTGTTGAATATAATGTTTTGTGTATTTTCTTTTTTCTTCAGGGTGCCTGGAAACCATCTCTAAACATCTCTACAGTTCTCACTTCTATTCAGCTCCTCATGTCTGAGCCCAATCCAGACGACCCACTTATGGCTGATATAGTAAGTCACAACTGTCTGTTTGAGCAGGATCACATGATTACATACTTACATGCTGCCCACTTATTTGCTTATAAGAAATTCTGGTATCAGCGTTGATGTGTAACAGAGCTTTCTGATAACCAGGTTTTTTTTGGGATGCTAAAATGATCAAGAGCAAAATATAAGCATAAAACTTAGAGTATTTTGCAGTTTTGTTTTGTTTCCAACATGTCTGTTTGTTTGTTTTTTTAATGTGGACTGAAATATTTAAGTGTTAAATATTTTTGAAACATCTTATTTTTGTTTTGAAATTTTAATCTGGCGCATTTTAACAGTAAAACAGTGAATGTTAACTTTTTTTCCTTCCTTTCTGCTTCAAATCCAGTCGGCGGAGTTCAAATATAACAAGCACTTGTTTTTGGAGAAAGCCAAGAAATGGACGCAGGAACATGCAGTTCAAAAGAACACTGTAAGTCACTGGTTCCTGGATATGGCTGCAAAAACCATCTGGTCGTTAATGGTATTGACAGCACTTTTTGGGTTTGACACACGAACGAATCAAGCTAAATAAGTTGTGAGAAATCTTTATGACCCTAAAGAAGTGATGGTTGGTTGTTTGGAGTGTAACGCAGCACTTGCTATTCTACTCTATAAATACTCTCCAACTCAGCTCTGTGACTACCGTTCTCACTGGTTCATATCAGAATCAGAATGCCTTTATTGTCATTATACGCAAGTACAATGAAATTAAGAGCCACTCCTTTTTTCAGTGCAAAAACACGCCTTAAGAAAAACACACACTAAACACACACTAAAAATATAAAAAATGTAACGCAATATAGATATAATAGCACTATGAAAGTAAAAAATACAATTATTTCACAATTATATTGCACATTATGGATATTAGTGAGGTAGTTAAGGTGATTGGGAGTATGAAATGTCAGTAGTATTGCACAATAGAAGTCCAGGGGTTTGGGAGGTTAGATTATTAAATCAGTGCATATGTGAGTTCAATGTGGTGATGGCTTTTGGGAAAAAACTGTTCTTGAATCTGTTTGTTCTTGTTCTGATGCACCTGTAGCGCTTCCCTGAAGGTAACAAGTCAAACAGTTCAAAACCCGGGTGAGAACTGTCCTTGATTATGCTTTCTGATCTGTTGAGGCAGCGTGATGTGTAAATGTCCATCAGGGAGGGGAGAGGGCAGACAATTATCTTTTGTGCTGTCTTGACTACTCTCTGAAGCCTCTCCCTGTCAGCCAGGGTGCAGCTGCCGTACCATACTGAGATACAGTATGTCAGCAGGCTCTCGATGGACGATTGGTAGAAGGTCAACAGCGATTTGGTGTTCAGGTTGTACTCTTAAGAAGTGTAGTCTCTGCTGAGCCTTCTTGATGACCGCTGTGGTGTTCTCTTTCCAGTTAAGGTCAGCAGCGATATGGACACCAAGAAATCTGAAAGTGTGAACCCTCTCCACGCACTCGCCATTGATGTAAAGGGGGGCTAGGATGGTGCTGTGCTTCCTGAAATCAATAATCACCTCCTTGTTTTTTTTGATATTCAGAGCCAGATTTTTCTCCGAGCACCAGGTTGCTAGCTCCAGGACCTCCTGTCTGTAAAATGTCTCATCTCCCTTAGAGATTAGTCCGACCACTGTGGTGTCATCAGCGAACTTGACGATGAGGTTGTTGTTGTGGGCCGGGCTGCAGTCATGGGTGTAGAGACAGTACAGCAGGGGGCTCAGCACACAGCCCTGTGGGGAGCCAGTGCTCAGCGTACGAGTGGAGGAGAGGTGGGGACCAAGTCTTACAGATTGGGGCCGATTGGTTAGGAAGTCTTTTATCCAAGCACATGTGAGTGGGGGGAGGCCGAGATTGTCCAATGTATTTATAAGAATGTCCGGAATGATTGTGTTAAAGGCCGAGCTGTAATCCACAAAGAGCATTCGAACGTAGCTGTGCTGTTGTTCCAGGTGGCTCAGCGCGGTGTGGAGAGCTACTGCAATAGCATCCTCTGTGGACTTGTTGGTGCGATATGCAAACTGGTAGGGGTCAAAGTTCGGAGGGAGATAGTCCTTGATGTGCTGGAGAACCAGTCTCTCGAAGCAATTCATGATTACCGGAGTGAGAGCCACTGGTCGGTAATCATTCAGGCTGGTGATGGTAGGTGTTTTCAGCACTGGGATGATGGTTGCAATTTTTAAGCAGGGAGGGATGACAGCCTGGGCCAGGGACAGATTGAAAATTCTGGTGAAGGTGGGGGCGAGCTGGAGGGCACATGCTTTGAGCACCCTGCCAGGTACTCCATCTGGGCCAGTAGCTTTCCTGGGGTTCACTGGAACGAACGTCTAACATCATGCTCCCGTACAGTGAGTGGAGCAGTAACCGGGTGGGGGCAGGGCAGGATCAGATGGGTGCTGCTGTGGAGCATCAAAGCGTGCAAAGAAGCAGTTTAGCTCCTCTGCTAGTGATGCACTCAGGTCTCCTGTTGTCACCTCACAGCCTCTATAGTTTGTGATGTTTTTTATGCCCTTCCACACCTCCCATGAGTTGCTGCTGGACAGATGGGACTCTATACTCCTTTTATGGTCAGCCTTTGCAGTTTTTATTCCCTTATTCAGGTTGGCTCAAGCAGCTCGGTACAGAGCTCTGTTACCTGACCTGAAGGCAGCATCGCGGGCTCTGAGGAGTGTGCGGACCTGGCTGGTCATCCAAGGTTTCTGGTTGGGGTAAACCTGAATGTTTTTGACCATAGTCACATTTCCGATGCAGAACTTGATGTAGTCCAGTACTGTTCCTGTGTATGTTTCCATCACTTGATGTTCAAATAAGTCCCAGTTAGTTTGTTCAAAACAGTCCTGTAGGTCATCGAGTGCATTATCAGGCCAGTTTGTAACAGTTTTTGTTGTAGGCCTTGCTCTGCGTCTGAGTGGGTGTAAGCTGGGGGGAGCAGGAGGGAAAGATGGTCTGACTGCCCGAGGTGGGGGAGTGGTATGGCTCTGTATGCGTGTTTAATGTTCGAGTAAACATGATCCAGAGTGTTCTCCCTTCTAGTAGAACACAACATGTCGGTAGAATTTTGGGAGTACAGTCTTCAGATTAGCCCTGTTGAAATCTCCTGCAATTATATGAACACCGTCGGGGTGAGCCCGCTGCTGTTCATTGATGGTGTTCAGCAGGAGAGAGAGCGCCGGACTTACATTAGCATCGGGTGGTATATACACAGCAGTAATTATCACAACTGTTAGCTCTCTCGGTAGAAAAAAAGGTCGGCATCTCACGGACATGTACTCAAGGTCTGGGGAACAGTGGTTGTCTATAATTGTCCCGTTGTTACACCAGTTCTCATGCACATAAATACAGAGCCCCCCACCTCTGCTCTTACTGGAGTCTGCAGTCCTGTCCCAGCGTAGCAGAGAGCGGCCTGCTAGCTGTATGCTAGCATCGGGTATCCCGGGGTGAAGCCAGGTTTCGGTGATAATCAGAACACAGCAGTCACGAACATAGCGATTTCCAGCGAGTTGTAATTGCAAATAATCCATTTTATGCACCAGGGATCTGGCATTGGAGCGATAAAGGCTCGGTAGAGGTGGCTTGTGAGGTTGTGATCTTAGCCTTAGCATAACGCCAGACCTGCTTCCTCGCTTCCACTTCCTCTCCCTTCTCCGTCTGCGCCGCCTCCCAGGCCCGACAACAATCCACGGAGAGCCCGGTGATCTCGCTATGTCGTCTGGGATGTTGTGCGTGTAATGAAAGTCACTCGAAACAGGTATTTGGTGCTGCTCACCGATGTCCAAAAGGGTCTGACGTCCGTAGTTGATGTTTGCAAACTCGGCAATGCAAACACAAGAAAAAAGGACGTACAAAAATAACATTAAAAAGCACTGAAAGGGAGAGCTGTGAGCCGCTGCAACCATGCGCGCCGCCATCTTGGAACATGCCATGCCAAATGTGTATTATTGAATCAATATCCGACTCCACAATTCACCTTAATATTTTGACACAACACTGATGTAGGAAGATGATGTGCTAGACCAGCTTGTAGGTGTTGTATGAAGGAGACTAATGTCTACGACAGGCCACTCCATGCATGAATAGGATGTCTTCACAGCTTTAGCCTGTCATGGCGTTAGTTATGTGTATTGACTTATTTAAACCACAAGATTGTGCTGTTTTCTTGGTAGGAATCAACATCAACTGTGACCCTTGTGCAAATGTCTTGAGTCACTCCTGATTTATTTTATTTTTTTCAAGAAAATGGACTTTTTGTCATGTGTTTTAAAGTGCTCTTGGTTACAAATAACTACCATTTTGCTTTGCATAGACACTAAAAAATGTTTTAATTGTATTTATTTATATTTTTTGGCTTGGTGTCTGTGACCTATGAATCAATCAAATATAATGTGAAGTGATTTAACATAACCACAAAAACGTTTAAAAATGGTCATGTCCCATGTTCAGAGAAAAACTTAAAAGGCAGCTAGGTAATTATTGAAAAGGACAAGAAAAAACAGTATTTAAAAGATATAAGTGAACATAGTATTCCTTAAAGTAATGCACATTGCCCACTGCCCTGCATGCCGAAGTTTTAAACAAAGATTTTGTGTGATCACTTAGCGCTCAGAGGACACGTTGGAGTTCAGAATCAGCTTCGACGTGGCTCGTTTTTTAATGTAAAACTTGCCGAGTTATAGCCATTTTTGTGTTTGCAAGGGTTGCTTAGCTGTGGTGGCCATCTTAAGGAGGCCTGACTCCAAATCAGTTAAAAATGTATGCTGGAGGATTACTTTCTGGGCATTTAAAAAAAAAAATCAGTTCAGTGGTTCATGAAATATTTTGCTAACAAACAGGAAAATAAATAGACACAATCAATCAAATGATTGCCTTTTATCTCACTGCACAAGTCAAGTCAACTTTATTTATAGAGCACATTTAAAACAGAACCTGTTATCAAAGTGCTTAAAAACAACAACAACAATCAATCAATGAGCGTAAAATTAAAGAGAAAAAAATTATATATATATATATATATATATATATATATATATATATATATATATATATATATATATATATATACACAATACACTAATAATAATAACTGAATAATTAATAAAAAAAGCATTTAAAACATAGGGTCACAGATTAAAAGAAACACTAGATCAAATTACACTGTGTGAAATGTCTGTGAGAACAGATGTGTTTTAAGCAGGGATTTGAAGTGAGGAAGGGAGGTGGCCTGCCTGATGTTGTGGGGCAGGTTGTTCCAGAGTTTGGGAACCATGACTGAAAAAGCCCGATCTCCTCTGAGCTTCAGTTTTGTTTTTGGAACAGCCAAAAGCAGCTGATCGGATGATCTCAGGGCCCGAGAGGGAACGTAAGGTTCCAGTAGCTCAGAGAGGTAAAGGGGTGCGAGGCCATTTAAGCATTTGAAGGTCAACAGAAGAATTTTAAAGACTATCCTCGTACGAACAGGGAGCCAGTGAAGGGAGGACAGAACTGGAGTAATATGTTCAGACCTACGAGTTCCGGTTAAAAGCCGAGCAGCAGCATTCTGGATGAGCTGAAGACGTGAGATGGAGGCCTGGCTGATCCCAGCATACAGTGCATTGCAATAGTCCAATTGGGTCGTGACAAAGGCGTGGACTAGTTTCTCAAGGTCGGGTCTGGACAATACTGGCTTGAGCTTAGCTACCTGTCTGAGTTGGAAGAAGCTTTTCTGCAGAACAGAGTTGATTTTTTTGTCAAACTTGAAGTCAGAGTCTAAAACCATCCCGAGATTTTTACCAGACTGCTTAAGATATGGCTGAAGAGAGTCCAGGTTGACAGGATCAGTGGTGGCAGTTGAGCTAGGGCTAAAGACAATGACTTCAGTCTTCTCATTGTTAAAACTTAAGAAATTTGAAGCCATCCAGGCCTTAATGTCATCCAGACATTTTAACAGAGGGTGAATGGAGCAAACACTTGCTGGTTTCACAGGCAGGTAGATATGGCAGTCATCAGCATAGCAATGGAATGAAAGACCATGTTTCCTCAGGATGGACTCCAGTGGGAGCAAATAAAGTGAGAACAGAAGGGGTCCAAGAATCGAACCTTGTGGGACCCCGCAAGAAAGAGATAATGAGGCAGATACATTATTACCAACCTTGACACAGAAACTCCTGACACTCTTTTTTTTTTTTTTTACTCCTGCCACTCAGGTATGAGTGGAACCATTCTAATGCAGCACCTGTGATCCCAACCCACTGTTCCAGCCGTGATATAAGGATACTGTGGTCAACAGTATCAAAAGCAGCAGTAAGGTCCAGGAGCACAAGTACCACAAATTGACCAGAATCGTTTGATATCATAATATCGTTACAAACCCTTACTAATGCTGTTTCAGTGCTGTGGAGTTGCTTAAAACCAGACTGAAAAATCTCGAAGATTCTGTTTTCATTCAAAAACTTGTTTAATTGAATGAAAACAAATTTTTCTCCAGGATTTTGGACAGGAAGGGAAGTTTTGAGATTGGTCTGAAATTTGAGCAAGTCGAAGAGTCAAGTCCAGGTTTCTTAATTAACGGATGAACTACTGCATGTTTGAAAACATCGGGAACCACACTTGTCACAATACTACTATTTATAATAGTAAGAACAGAGGGTCCAATCGTGGGTAGAACTTGTTTGAAAAACGACGCAGGAATGGGGGTCAGCGGGGGAACCGGAGGGTTTCATCTGACCAACGACTTTGTTTAGAAATGGGTTCAAACTGTTTGAAGACAGCTGAGCAAGGGACAAAGACAGAGGAATCAGTTGTGGACTGGGGGATGGATGACCTAATCAACTCTACCTTATCAGCAAAGTATCTGGTAAAGTCGTTGCAGATGTCAACGGAGGCCTCCATGCTGGCAGACCGAGGCACGTTTAAAATTGAATTTACGGTATTAAAAAGAACACGGGGATTATGACTGTTTAAAGCAATGATTTGGGAGAAGAATTTGTTCTTTTCAGATTTAACGATGCTCTGATAATCTTTCAAACACGTTTTTAACATAATAAAAGAAACCTGTAATTTGTCCTTTTTCCACTTGCTCTCCTGCATAGACGTTTGGTTGCACGAGTGGTCGCGTTCAACCAGGGGTGTGGTGCACGCTTTGGTCGCCTGATTTTTAGCAGGGCCACGAGGTCTAAGATCTTAGAGCAGGTTGCATCATGCCTACTGAGCAGCTCCTGCTTACTAATACAGGCAGAGGTTTCAGGGACTGAAGCAGCATCAGTAATGAATGCAGAGGAAAAAAGAGCAGCGGTTGAAGAGTTAAATATCCGACAACTCTTGGCCGGAGTGGGGGATTTAGACTCATGAATAACAGGTTTGGAATTAAATGGGTTTGTGATCTGAAACAATAGCATCCCCAATTTCCAGATTAACCACAGATAAACCGTGAGACAGAACTAAATCAAGTGTTGATGAGATGGACCAACAACATTTTGCACAAAGTTGAAAGATTGTAACAGATTTAGAAACTTCTGCACCAAAGGCTTGTCAGGACAGCAAACATGCACATTAAAGTCTCCCAGAATCAAGACCCTGTCGTAGTTGAGCAGTATTCCAGTCAGAAAGTCAGAAAATTCACTTATGAAGTTTTTGTTGTACGAGGGTGGTCTGTAGATCACGCTGCACAGTGTTGGGTTGGAGCGGCCCAGCTCAAAGTATAGCAGTTCAAAACTCTGAAAAGCTACAGCCTGTAGCTGTCTGCAGTTCCAGAGCTTTTTAAAAACTGTTAATAATCCACCACCCCTACCAGAAGTCCTTGGAGCATTAAAAAAAGGCACAATCCACCGGCAAAAGTTCAGAAAAAACACTTAACTCACCAGGGACGAGCCAGGTCTCTGTAACAAACATAAGAGTGACTCAAGACTTCTGCATCATACCTGTATGTTTTATTTAGTTTTAGATTGTGATCGTCTAAAACCATTTGCGATGTGTCTTTGTTCAGGGAGTCGTGGAGGACAACAAAGAAAATGCTCTAAATCAGAAAATCTCATCCACAAAAAGAGAGGACGTCTGTGGCCGGCAGGAGACAGAAGAGTCAGCAAAGAGACGCTGTGTTTAATTTCCCTTTCAGTTAAGCTAACCAGCATGCTTTGCACATCTTTCAACATTTTGTGATTTTAACTTCTTTTATTGCTAGAACCAACCTCCATTTAAAATGTATGTAAGTGTATGGGAGGATATAAAGTGAAACATTTATTAGGCTTTATCGTTGTTGTGACATTAAAGTTGACAGACTCATTATACGCAGCGTCGTCTCATGTATCAGGGTGTGTTTTGTGTGGTACCATAGACGGAGTCAATAAAATATATGAAAATCTTAATTTTATTCAAACATATGCGTAACAGTTGTATATTAAGTATGTACAACCTAAACCGTACAAGTTTTTTTTTTTTTTTTTTTACAAACTACAATTTTTTTTTCATATATAAAATTATATATTTGTTTATAAAAAGGAGACAAACATCATAAGGCTGTAGTGAATCAATACCATAGTTCAGAGGTAGTTACATTGTTTATATTTATATATATATATATGTATATATATATATATGCAGATTGCTAGCCTGCTTTAAAGTCGGCAGAAATATAACTATGTCCCATTCAGTTTGACTCTTGTTGAGTAGAGTTGCGTATTGAAGACTAAAACATGTAAACCATATGAAACTGCATTAGGCAGTTTGCTGTCACCTATAAAATCATGAAGCACTTTATCAGATGATGACATCGCTGAAGACAAAATTCTAGCTTACCTTGGTAAAATGATCTGCGTTTGGCAGAGTCCCTTATTTGGAAGTAAAACTTAGCAATAAGAAAAAAACGTAACATTTTAAAAGAAGTAACTTCACTTAAAACATTAACAATTTATAGCACAAGTTTTTGCAATCACATTTCAGTATGAACATTATTCCCTGTGGGTAAGCCATTGATTTAGATCTTTCTTTGATTGTCCATGGAAAAACCAGCTTTGTTTGAAATTTCTCTTCGTTAATCAAAACGTCGATTGACTCAGTCTGCTGGATAGTTCTTAGGAATCTTGAGTTCATCAGTACTGGCATGTCCTAGAGGTCTTTTTTTTCTGTAAAAGCAGTTTTTGTCCCACTTTTTATTCGCTCATCATCTTTTCAGTTAATCATCAGTTTTCATTTAGTGATTTTAAGGAACATTTCGGTTTATGGCCCATAAAGGTTTCCTGCTGCATTAAAATAATTGTCCTTAAATCACCGTTTCCCAGATTTTGAGACCGCTGACAGGGAGGGTTGGTGATGTAAGGTGAGTTTTGAAGGCACATTACAGAGAGGGTAGTATTATGAGTTGCTTCTCAATCTGAGCACTTCGCACATTGCTCAGACTTCATTCAGTCACCCTCTCCCTTTCTCTGGCTGTGAGAGTGGGCACTTGGCAAGGAATGAGCGGAACAGACAAAGTAGAGGAGCAGCTGGAAAATTGGATTGGGTCCATTTTGGGCTGGGGAGACGACCCAACGCAGTACATGGCATCAGCATCAGTCAGTGACACCTGAGTGGAGGAATCGGAGTAGGAGCTCTTCTCTGTGGCTACAGAAACCAGCGAGTCCAAGGTGCGGTCTCGACGCAGTTGTGGGCGTGCTTTGGGGCGAGACCAGGAGAAAATCTGAGTGTGGTCTCTTGTGAAAAGAAGGAAGAGGAGAGGGTTGAGACATGAAGGCAGTGGCTGCAGGAGCAGAAGGACTGATTTCAGGACCTCCTCCCCCAGAGAGATGAGACCCAAAAGAGAGCAAAGGGAAAGGAAAGCTACTGGTACATAGAGGAGACCATTAGTGAAAATTAGCCAGGCAACATGTTTGATCATAGCACAGTCCCACAGACCCTCACATTCTCCTCGAAGTAACTCCCAATAGAGGCGGATGTATGAACCTGTGACTATGAGCAAGCACAGGGTGTTCATCATGATGAGCGCCAAAGGAAAGCCTAGGGAGGATGGGAAGTGCACAGATGTAGTAGGCAAGGGTGAAGGAAGGCAGAAAGGGGAAGACCCATACTCTCCCACACCTAACAGTGGGAGAGAGGCAAGAGTGAGGGACAAAGTAAGGCAGAACAATGCACATGTGCGCACACGCCCAAGGGATGGGGATTTTCCATAGGCACGGGCACAGGTCACACTTACACCGCACTGCACTGCCGCAAGAGTCAGCAGCAACACACTCGCCTCAGACGCAAACACCCAGACCCATCCTGTCGCCTGACAACCATGTCCGCCCTCCCAGCGTGCTCCGTAGTGATTGAATTCTCCCAGAGTAAGAGCATCCACAAGGACCAGAGTGCAGGTGCACACCCCCGTCAGGAGATTGGAAGCACCCATGCAGGCCACAGTGAAGCGAAGTGGCGACAAGTAGCCAGGCGAGCCAAACAGGGACAGGAACAGGATGGAGTTTCCCAGCAGAGACACTAGTGAGATGATCCACAAGCCAACGCGGACTATCCAGCTGCCCAACAGGGAGTCACACGGACGGAAAGGACCTGCAACGTAACAAACACAACTCATGAGCTGAAAATGGAAGAGCTGGTACAGTATGGTATGGTATGGTACAGTTTTCTAGTAGCTAATGCCGCTAGCAGAACCATGATGCTGAAAGAACCTCACGTCTGCCAACCGAACCACACTAGATATTTTCGTTTTCACTTTTGGCGCCTTGTTTTTGTTTTAGGGGTGCACCGATTGCAGTTTTCTGGCCAATCACCGATTTCTAAAAAGTCTGAGCTTCCAATTTTGGACGATACCGATTTTGTTTTATAAGCGACACTGTCAGGTGTTATACGGTCACAATGTATTTTCAGTATTCCAATATTATTTTGTTGAAAAACATATCCTTGAACAAAAACAATACAAACTTGTTTTAACTGGCCCTGAGGTCATGTTCTGAAATATAAAATAAGTTCAGACAATTGTTATTAAAACAAACCAAAAAAAAAAATTGGTTTTTCATGCAAGTATGCGCTGATTTCCCAAAATTAAGGAAATCGGGCCGATTTATCGGTGCACCCCTAGAATTTTTGTTGCATGCTTTGGTGGTGTTTTATTTATTTATTTTGCGAGTCGAGACGGTTCTTCTCATCCTCAGCATTTCATTACCTTGTGTTGATTTGCATATGACAAATAAACCAAACCTGAAGCTAGTAGCTCTCATAGAAATATAAAAACAGCTGTATAATGTCACCAAGCTGGAAGTTGCATTACCAGGTGTGGGTGTGCATTGAACGCTGGTCTGCAGTTTAGATTCTTCGACTTCCAGCTGGAACTCCTCCAGATCAGGATCATCTAGAAAATAACATTGTTGTCAGGTTAAAATTCAAAAGGCCATCTTCTTTTACGACAACTTTGCTGTTCCAATCCCATTTGACATGTGCCAGACAATTAGTTCTGTTGTTACTACATGTGTATACTTATTACGGTATGTGCTTGACGGCTTACATATTTGTGCTAGGCGAAAAGGATTATTTTAATATGGGGCGGGCTAACATTCTTCTGCAGTGACACACAAACATGTTAGGAAGATAGCTGGCACTTTCCATGACTTGTTTATATAAATTAAAATGTGATAAATTTTAATTAGACGTGTGCCAGGTGTGGGTGTAAATTCTCAGTCATCCAGAACATGATAAATACCCCCAAATTAAAAACTAAACAAACTTTTGTTCTGCAGTTGAAGACATTTCACTGATATTGTTTTAGTAAACTCTGTAACTATTTGGAGTTCTAGTGGTCTAGATTGTATGTGTTTTTTTTTTTGTCAGCTTAGTTATGATTTATATGTGTTTATATTGTTTGCCAGCCACAGGAACGGGATGATAAACGTGGATGTGTAGTAGGTGCCAGGTAATCGTGGTTTCAGCGAGGCTCCGACATGTTTCAAGCTTTATTTGTTTTAGATTCCCATCTATTATGATCTGTGTGTGTATGTGTTACAACAAATATTGTAAGTTTGTAGCGACTTACAGTGGGTGTCAGTGTGGATGGGGTACATGGCTACTGTCCTCTTGTGTAGATCTTCATGTGTGTTGCTCGGTTCTGTGTCCCACTGACTGGCTGGCTTGTAGCTATCGCAGGATGAATATACACAGCACTGGTAGGCATAAGGCATCTCGATCACCCTGGAGCATAGAGATAAAAACATTATTAACATGTCAGAGTCAAAAGCTGGTTTCTGCCAGCACTTCTGTTTTTGTAGACTGTTCTTCAGTAATGATGTTATTGCACCTTGATTACATGCCATCCTCGCCCTTAACTTTGATTTTACCTCTCCTGGCCTTCGGGGACGTTTTTTGTTTACAAGAATTGGCATGCTACTTCAAGCGTTCAATGTTTAAGTTCTTCTCAGCAATGACTCAAAGGATACACTGCAGTTACCCAACTGCCTGACGTTGGTAATTTCACAATATTTTAACGACATTGTGAGATGAGGGATAGTTGAAGTAAATTGTCTGGGCTGCGTTGTTCCTTAAAGCTCACAGAACACCCACGTGAATGTTTGAATCAGTTTTTACTGAGGTGAAAAGAGTTAGTAGTGTATTTGTAAGTTATTACCTCATGTGGGGAAAATTATCAGGACTGAAAGCTTCATATAATTCTTTGTTCCCCTTCAGTTTGAGATGTGTGAGGGCTCCCAGACCAGCAACTGGCAAAGAGGTGAGATGGTTCTCAGTGAGGTCCCTAAAGCCAATTACAAAAGAAATGCAATGTTAGTTCTGCTAAATGAGATTACCGTATTTCAAATATCATTTCAAATATCATATTGGGGTAAATCTTTGTAAAATAAAGAAGATCCTGTCTCTGTGATATTTCACCCTGGTCAGACAAGGCACTGTATCACATTCTCCTAAGATAGGATCTATCATCAGATATAGATAATTTAGCGAGAAAAAAAAAAGATTTCACAGAAATATGCTATTTTGGTGTGACCTAAAATAGGGCTTGTGGCTACACATGTTTGAACATTGAATACTTGTCAGTGTCCTTGAGCCTTATATACATACACACACACACACACACACACATATGTGTGTGTGTGTTTAATTTATTCACATCTGAAAAGGGACAAGACTGAAACTTCTGAAGTAATAAATGAAAAAGTAAAATAGTGTTATAGAAATGTTTCTGTTTATTTTTTTTATTTTTTCCTCACAGTTTTATTAACGAGTGAAGGGAGGCAAAGGTATCTGGGTGGATCCTCTCGATCACGTTCCAGCTCAGATCTCTGTTAGAAAGGAAAACAAAAACATTCTCAAGTGAACTAAAAATGGACATATCATCATCACATTTCCAAAAAAGTTCAATCTGGTCCTCTGGACATTCAAAAAAACAAAACAAAAAAAAAAACAAAGCAAAAAAAAATCTAGAAACGTTTCGTCTCTCATCCAAGAGACTTCCTCAGTCTGAGGTGCTGTTTTCAGCTCAGTCTCTTAAATAGCACCGTCTCAGAGTGGATCAACCAGTTTTGCTGCTGACAACCAAAACCAACTGATCACATGCTCAAGAAGGACCATCAGCCTAACAATGGATCATTAGCACACTGATGGCTGTTTACTACTCACAGAGGGCTGAGTGATACTAGCAATCACAGCATTGTAAGAGGGGGACAGTTGAACCCGGAGGCCTCCACCCCTGTTTAATGATGGACGATTTCTTTTCACAAAGATGGCCTCCTTTACTCCTCTCTCAAACCATCGTTCCTCTCTGTCCAGGATGTGAACATCTTCATCCTTGAAAGAGTGACCGCTGGCCTGGAGATGAGTGTAGACCGCAGAGTCCTGGCCTGATGATGTTGATCTTCTGACTGAGCTGAAAACAGCACCTCAGACTGAGGAAGTCTCTTGGATGAGAGACGAAACGTTTCTAGATTTTTTTTTTGCTTTTTTTTTTTGTTTGTTTTTTTGTTTTTTTGAATGTCCAGAGGACCAGATTGAACTTTTTTGGATTTTTCTACCTGGATTATTGAGCATGCATCAGGAGATCATCACATTTGTTTTTTTTTTTTCTCTTTAAAGTTTGTGTATACTTAACCACTAGGTGTCAGTAAAGAGACATACCTCTGCTTACTTCTGACCCCATAATGACAACAATATGATATCAGTATTTTCAACTCCACATACTGTTTAAATTTATTATTCAAATAATTTCAAAGAAGCTAACTTATGTAAGATCTTATTATTTCCAGCCATTTAATCAAAAACATAATAAAAAACACAAATAACTTTTGACTTTTTAATGGGATCTTGACACCAGTGTTTGAAACCACTGATATTTATTGCCTACCACTAAAATATGAAGACAGGCCATCATGTTTTTGCTTGTCTGTCTGTGTGTGTGTGTGTGTGTGTGTGTGGGGGGGGGGGGTGTTATCTTTGTGCGTGGAAGAGTGTTTGTGCCTATCTGTTACCAAAAAATCTCACAAACCACTGGACAAATTTTAATAAAACTTTCAGGAAACAATCATTGGTTGAACATCTACCACTAAATAATATTTGGAGTCATTCCAATTCAAGATGGCTACCACAACAAACTGAACTTGGAGAACATGAATCTAGTTATAATTCATTCAGTTTTACAGATGTGGTAAAATAAGTTGCGATGGTCGCTAACAGTCATTCATGATGTAATGTCCAAGCGCTACTCATTACACAAGACCTTTAATTAAAAGATTAGCATTAACTGATGGAGTCAGCTTGATTTGTTAGCAAACTAGTTCATGAACCACTAGAAGGATTTTAATAAAACCTAAAACAAACGACCAGAAAGCAATCACTGGATTCAGATCTATAACTGAATACATTTTGGAGTTAATCCAATTCATGATGACCACCACACAAATCAACATTAACCAACACAAAAATGACTAAAACCCAGCCATTTTACAGATATTCAGCTAATATATGGTGTGATAGTAATTGATGAGACATTCACAAAACATACTCTGGCCATCTCACAAAAGTGCACGATTTTGCACATTTTCAAGGTCTTGTCAGGGTGTGATGAAAACATCCATAATCCCATTATTTCTCAACATAGAATTATCTTTATGTAAACCTCTATCATAAAAGTGAGTGACAGTCATTCCTTCAAAAAATTATAGCCGCTAAATAAATTAAAGGGTGTCAGCAAAGGTCAAAGAAAATGTTTACAGGAGAGTAGTGAGGCCATTTATGTCGTATGGTTTGGAGACAGTGGCCCTGATAAAAAGACAGGAAACAGAGATGAAGATGGTGAGGTTCTCCTCAGGAGTGACAAGGAGGTTGAGATTAGGAATAAGATCATCAGAGGTACAGCACAGGTTGAATAACTGGGAAATAAAGTTATAGAGGCCAGACTGAGATGATTTGGACACGTCCAGAGAAGGGACAGTGGGTATATTGGTAGAAGGATGTTGACTATAACTGGTGACCCTTGAAGAGGGAACAGCCAAAAGAAGAAGAAAAATAAATGAGCTGCATTTACTTCATGATTTTTAACCTTATAACTCAAAGTGCTTTACATCAATTCTATTCTATTTCAAGTCACAACAGAAGTCGTCTCAGGGCACTGAACAAAAACATTCATATATATAAAAATAATCATTTAACATTATTTATGTGAGGAGCAGACTGCTTTGACTTTAACTGCATCACAGAACTCTCATCTTGAGCAAGCATGAAGGCGACAGTGGAAATGAAAAACTCTCTCATGAGGAAGAAACTTTTAGCAGAACCAGTCTCAGGACAAGCGGCCATCTGCATCAACCGGCTGGGTTTGAGAGGAACAGATACACAATGGCAGGTTGAGAATCCCATGTTAAGGTAGAAATAATATCAAATGAAAACTATTCAATTTTAACAATTCATTTAAGGAAATTAGGTCAATTTGTCCTCTAGTAGTCTACGCCTATGGCAGCATAAAAAGCCAGTCCTAATTATAGTAGTCCCTCGCTACTTCGCGGTTCATTTTTCGCGGACTCGCTCCTTCGTGGTTTTTCAAAGTAAGATTGGACGTGACACACAATGACTGATTGATGGATGAGCTGCACGATCGGCATGGATTTGTTATTTGAAATAAATTATTTTAAATGATTTAACACAGTGTGCAGCCTGCAGCTGTGGGAGAAGATACCACCTGGAGCTGATCAGCTGATCTCCGTGCAGATTGGAGAAGTGGGTGTGGCTGAGAGTGCAGCCGGAGGTAAAGAGCTGAAATCATGACAATCTATGCTCTTAAGAGCATTTAGTGTTTAGAAACATTGTTTAGAATATTGCAAGAGTGTGGGAAGGGTTTTAAACTCCTATATATATTGTATATATATATTTTAAATTTACCCTTTATTTATACAGGTAGTCTCATTGAGCCACGAGAACTCATTTTCAAGAGAGACCTGTTTAGGGAGCAGGAGGGGGTTAAGGGCCTTGCTCATGGGCCCAGGGTGGGGTGAATGAGAATATATATATATATATATATATATATATATATATATATATATATATA